TCATGGTGGCTGTGCCCAACAGGGCCCTCTCCGAATGTGCCATGAAGTTTATTCAATGTTTCCCATCAGCTCACTGCACACTACAAATCCTGGCTTCTGTGTTACGTGAAGAAGCCCAGACAGGTTGTTGCTAAAGCTTGCTGGTCAAGAGAAGGCGAACAAGGTCGATAAAGGAAAGTGCCTTAGCAGTTTGATGGCGCTGCTGGTAGAGACTTAATTGCAAGGACCACAGTTCACAATTTTTTGCCAGCCATTCCCTGAGATACTTTGAGCCCACAAGCACCTGTCTAATTTGAAGTTTTTAAAACACCAGACAGGTGCCAACAAGTTTTTTTAAGGTCCTTTGGTATGCAGGGCAGAGGGAGAGGAAGTGATTAAAACGGTGAGTGTGCTGAGCCTGGGGTTTACAGGCTGCTGAGAATCTGAGCGATGCAGATTAAGTCATTAAACAGCATTAAAGAGAAGAAGGATGCTTTATTCTTAGCAAGCAATATACTGCATTTTATTACTGAATGTTTGTCTAAAATGCAGCTTAACCAAGATAACTGATTTAGGAGTTCTTCCAAGCCGGTTGCTGATGTGACAGTAGGTCCTCTCACTTGCACTGTCATGAAACTGGGGTGGGGGAAGCCGAAATGTTGCATCTAACCCATGAAGGCTGTGCTGCTGGTGGCTGGGATCACGCTTTGCTCATCTGAGCTGGCTGTCGGCGCTACTCCGGCAGGCTGAGAAATTAGCACATCAGAGTGATGTGGATCGCATCTGCAAGGTAGATGCCTGTCTGTCCAAATCAGTTAGTGTGAATGTCTAACTCAGATGCAGATGTCTGCATGTGGGCAAATAAACCTTGCCCTGGGTATGCATTTTAAGGAGTTCAGAACTGCTTTGACATGAAGCTTTATTTTTTTTTGAGGTTCACTGTGCACAGCTCTGTTCCTATATACTTAATTTGAAATTAAACGTTAATTATTTGACTGATATTTTAATGTCTGTTTAATAATTTCTACAAGCATAAGTACATAACTTACCTGATTGTCACAACAGTTAAAAAAAAAAAAAAAAAAAAAAAGAGAGAGAGAGGGAAGTCACAGATTAAATTTCTTATCAGTTGAAAGTCATTACCCTAGTATTTTCAGGTGGAAAAAATCCCCAAGTGGCTTTAAGCACTGATTAGAAAAATTACTGATACTCTCTGATACTCTTTAACTTCAGGGATACCAGATGTTGCTCTTGCTGTTTGAAAATACTGAGAACTTCTGTCATAACAATGTGTACATAAGCTTATCTTGTGTTGCAGCCTGTATGCAGAGGTTTTATCTTTTGAGCAGTTAATCTTTCAAGAGTTTATTCTGATCATATTTAAAATGTAAGGATGTTTTTCTTTTATGTATATAAATACATATTTATATATTATATAAAAAGGGCTACCAATTTATATTATATCTATAAAAAGGGTTACCAATATAAGAGAAAAATCTACACCCAATCCAGATGATAAACACGTGGGAGGCATCATGACAGAAGGGGAATGCATCTTGTAAAGGAGGATGGGATAGTCTTTCAACAGAGCATGCATGGAAACAACTCTCTCTATTTTGAGGCTGAATAAACAAAACTCAGCAGTATGCAGCATGCCTGAATTGGCAGATTTTATACTATTGTTCTGGGTTGTAGCTCACAAATGGTATGCTTATATGCATGGCTAAGCTACAGCTACTTCTGCCAATTTCCTCCTCCAAATCTTTTGCTGGTTTTGGAGTCACTGTGCAAATGACCAGAAGGAGCAGGTTTTATTTCTTCACATCCTTTCATACGGAGGATTCCTTCTTGCAGAATAGAGCAGAGCTATGCATCATTAAACTGTACCATTTGTTACTAGCACCTCTAGGTCAGTATATCAACAGCTGTAAACAGCTTTTAAAGGAATCATTATGGTCACCTCCAGGCCAAAAATGATGTTTCACCAACTGTCAATTTGCTGAATAAGTGCGGTTCATGTCATTTGATTTTTTTAAAAGCAATAGAAAAGCATTGAAAAATAATAATAATAAAAAATCTCCTGGCATTTCTTGAATAGTCTCCAACTTCTAAATGAGTTTCCTGAAAAGAGAAGGTGAACTTTCAGAAAATTGGAAGCAGTGCTTAGCTGTCAGCCAGCAGCTTGGTGATGGCCACTGGGCTGCTTGGCGTACAGACTACTCTCTGGGAAGAGCGGCCATCCATCTCAGCCAGAGGACAACCTGTGTGCACACAGGGTAAGGCAGACGTTCAGCTTGGCTTGGACCAGAGCTAACCCAGTTCAGTTCCTACATCCAGCTTCTTTGAACGTTTCTAGTTTTTGTGTTGTGGTTTCAAGTGTTTGCATTAGATGAAACGTATACCAATTCCTCTTCTTTGGTGTGCTTTTTCTTTCACTTTGGAGTCTTTTCCTTTTATTGCCGTGTATAATAAGAGCTCTAAGCTGCTTGCAATAAAAGACATGTTTCTGAATGGCAGTTCTGGTATTGTTGGTGAGTGGTAAACTATGAGACCTTCTTCAAATCAACTTTGATGAAAATTCTCCATAGGGCACAGGTCATTAATACATAGTGGTCTTTAACCTGGTGTTGCTGCTTAATGAAGAGAAAAATTGAGAAAAACTTCATGTTAAAGCTTACAGCAAAACCATGCATTCAAAATAATTCTCTTTGGAAACATTTTAAACACTATGTATTGCTTTGATGTTGCCTTGATCATATTTTAATGCGTAATTAAAAATAAAACTCCATGCATCTGAAATTATATTGTACCTTAAAGCACAAAGGGAGTAGTTTTGGTTTTAAGTATTTTTTGCTCAGACAAAAGAAGAGAAAATGTCAGACTATTTGATGTTGTTTGTCATACTAGAGGAGTACACTGTTGGCTCTGATGTTTGTGATGTTGGCTTCCATGAGAATACTGATGTGGATGAAGACAGTTTGTGGGAACAAGGGCATGAGAGAGAAGCTCTGAGAAAAAGGTAGTAGGAGAAATCTGTAATCCTGGGTAGAATCTGCAGAGATTTGACAAAAAGCTAGACAGAAAGTGAAAGCTGCTGTCTTGTTACTTCGGCAGTTGCTAGGCCCACTCTATCACATTTCTCATCTGCAATGAACATGATGAATGGCAAGGGCCCAGGGCAGCTGGATGCTGTCTATTAGAGCTAGAAGCCTGTTCTGCACAAACGGCTGCTTGCTCCTCATCTTTGATGTTCACAGTGAATATAGGAAAAGGCCTTGCATTACTCTCTCTCCTTCTCACCTTCCTTTTTCCTTTTCTTCGTCCTTCCTGAGTTACGTGTCTGAACAATTCTGTTCCTATACAGGCGTCCAATAGACTTTGAAGTTGTTGAAAGCCTACAGGTGCCATTTTAACTTTAGATACTGCAGCAGTAATTTTAAGGATAGATGTGGAAGGTAGCAGCGCTTGCATCATTTCTGTTTCCTACTGGCAAGGCATATGGTACTCTTCTTCAGCCCTTACACAGTTGGCTTTACCTGTATGGCTGGCTGCTGCCGTATCTCACCTGGCCCTATGGGTAATGGACCACACTAAAAAATAAAATAAAATAAAAAATAGTACTGTGGCATAGCCAATATGTTTTGCTGATACCAGATAACTTATGCTTTTCTTATTACAATATACATCCGTTCCCAAACATTTGCAGAGGTGCTTTCCAGTGGTGCCAGTGTCAGGATAAAGTCGGTGCGCTAACTTACTGCAAGGTTGAAAATGAGAGTGGAGAGGGGAGGCTGCAAAAAAACAGTGTGCTACATTTTCAGAGTAAAGGATGTGTGTTCTGCCCATCTGGGTACAAAGACCAGGTGGTCCTGTTGGAAGAGGGACCACCAGAAGCTCTGTCACTGCTGGTGTATGTCTGCCACACGTTCCTGGTTCCAGCATAACTGCTGTTTGAAGCTGCCTTACTGCTCAGAGCAGAGCATTGCCTGAAGGTGCTCATAGCACTGAAGCACAGGAAGGTTGTGCAGTTTTCCAGCTGTGAAGGACGTTGTTTCTGTTGGTGAAATTATGAGGGCACCTGTTCCCTGGAAAACAGACCGAAGCCACTGGCTCGTTTTGTTCAGGGCAGTGGATAATCATCGCTGGTCATGGCTGTAGGTCAATGTTGATGCAAACCAGGCTGAAGTCAATGAGTCATTACCAATCCCATGAGAATCTTAGCCTCATTAAGAAGCGTTATTTTAGCAGCCTGTCCTACGGGATACAGCAAAACAGAAAATGCTCTGAGAATTCTCCATTGTTTTGCTTTTTGTAATTGTAAGTACTTGCTCAAGACTTCAGCACTGACCCTGTGGTCTCCGGTCTTTTCCTGGTGGACAGGGCTGTGAGTATAAACAGGCACCGCAGCAGCTGGCACTAATAATTGTGCTTGGCAGAGAGGAGAAGGAATGCAAATCAGTGAAGACACTGAACAGCTTTCTTGCTGGGGATGGAGTGCCTCATGGATGGGTTTCAGGTGTGCTGCTATGGCAGCTGCTCCTTGCTGGACCTGCAGGCTGTCTGATTCAAAAAAGTGTTGTTAAACATGGTTTTAAGTCACTGCTTCAGTGCTTGGCTAGGTAGGATGCATGTTGAGTGTACAAGTAAATGCTTTTCCGTAAATGATCTTTTTGGCTGACTTGCCGCCCCCTTGTTGCTGTTGTTGATCCAACAACTCCTGAGAACCCCCAAGTGTTTATTTTTTTGGTTAGTGCTGTTTCTCATTAAAGTACTAGGTAAGCATTGTAGTAAGAGGATTAACCTACAGGCATAGTTACTTGCATGCATAGTGGTATAAATGCAAGAAAACTGGGTATAGGTAGAAGGTAAGCTGAAAAATGCACAAGTAAGACTTTTGCAAGTGGAAAATTGTCAAAATTCCTTGTAAGTTTATCAGTAATGTAACACTAGGAGATTTTGACAGTCATTTAGGATGTAAATATAATATGTATTTAAAATATTTATTTTTCTTAATTTTACAGGGACCTGAGCTGATGAATAAATATGTTGGTGAGTCTGAACGAGCAGTGAGAGAGGTGAGAAAGTGCAAGCTATACATGATGTTCGCTTTTCTTGGCATTCAATTTTTTTCTGTGTTTATAAGGTTATCTTTAAATTTTCCAAAAAATCTTTTGGTTTAAGTTTTTTAAACAACCAAACAACAACCAGAAGAGATCTTTGTGCTGTTTAACTTCATCCTGCACTGGCATAGTGATGCACATCAAATTAGGGATCCTGTAGCAATTTTCACTATAAGCCTGTGTTACGCAACATCAGGAATAATTACTAAAAAGTCTGTTTTTAAAAAATGACCACAAAGCTTACGTCTGTTCCGTGATGTTCTGTAGCTTTTGAGGTGTGCAGGGGTTGACAGCAGTATGTAAAGAAATTTCAGTGCCTTAAAACTGAGTGCTTCATGGTTGTTTTTCTAGATCTTTAGGAAAGCCAGAGCGGTGTCTCCTTCAATTCTTTTCTTTGATGAAATAGATGCGTTGGCAGTTGAAAGGGGAAGGTAAGTAATCCTGTTACAAAAATCACAGACATTATTCTCTGATAATTTACTTGTACATTGTGCAATCACAAGTATATTGTCTTTCTAGAATTATTTTATTAAATAAAATCATTCCACATGCAGAAGAGTAGCATTTGTGACTTAACTATAAGAGTATTTCACTTGGCATAAACAGGTAAGTTGGTGGAGTTCATCCTTTCTCATGTCATTAGCAGGAAGGATTCTACTGGTTCTCATGCCCTTCGGCTCTTTTCTGTGGTTTTAACTTGCGTTTATTTCCAGTAACTAACTCCTTTCTTTTCCCAGGGTTGTTGCACTGTTCTAGTATAGTGCCTCCATCAAGCAAAGCAAATGGTCATATGCTATATAACTCTGGGATTTCCAGATAGACTACTCATATGCTTAAATTTAAACTCACATTCAAGCATTTTGCTAGACAGGGACAAACTTCATGAAAAAAAATAGAAGTGTGTATGTCCTTTTACGTGTTACCTTAAAAAGGGATTCTTCTGCAAGCAGCTAACAATCTTCTTACAATATGAGAGATGGTTAGCTTTTGTCTGAGGGAGTATTATAGCAGGTTTTATTTGCTGCTGTGGCATTTAAAATTTGACAGGCTATGGAAGTAGTCTTTCTTGGGGGACACGTTTTTCATAAAATAATTTTTCTAGTGAACAGCTACGTGTTTTTGTTTGATTTGCATGAAGAACTATGACATATATGCATGTAGAAAGTATTTATCTAGTTTAAAGAAGCATCAGTTTTCCATCATGTTTCTGGAAAAGAAGCTACCTTGGCATCCATACAGATCCCTTCGTATTGTGAAGGGGCCATTTATATCTGCAAAAATGGGTTAAAGACATCAGTCATTCTGATGTTTCAGCAACTAGAATTGTTTACTTAAAAGGAGATGTTGTCTTGCGTAGCATAGAGCTGCCCTTTGAAACTACTAAGAAAATGAAAACATTCTCTGCTGAAACTGCAAAAGCTGATATAAGACATCCCCATCAGCATCCTTCTCATATGCAGTGTATGCAACTGTGACATTTGTAAACTTCCTAGAAACGCTAGCCACCCTGTGGTATTCACTGAAACACCTGCCTACTTTTCACAACAGAGAAGTTGCAAAAATGTGTGCTGGAATCAAGCCAATAGGAAAAAAAATTCCCTCTGCTGCAATGCTCATGTGTTTAGTTTTCAGAAACACTGCTTCATCAAGATAAAACCTTCTGGAAGAATAAGACATAGTATATTTTAATCAGCCTTTTCACCCCATGCCCTAAAGGCATTGAGCTTGTTTATTTGTTTTATTCTTTTAGGGGGTAAATAACCCAATTTTACCTTACCTGGAACTGTCTGTGGGGGGTAGTAGGCCTGGCACAGCTTGCTGAAGAATGTGGTATGACCTGCTGCAGTCATGTTGCGCTGGAGACATCTGGTTTTGGAGCTTTAAAAAGAACAGGGTGGGACACACAAATATTTCATTGTCAAATCTGAACCAGATGGGAGGTAAAATATGTAGCAGAGTTCTCATAAAATTCATCTGAAATTAAATGGTGTAGGAAACCAGACAAGGCACTTATTAGAAATGGCCTTTTTTTACAGGCTGACTTTGCACAGTAGGAATTTGCAAATGCATTAGAGATGCTAACGATTTGTGGCCTCTGGAGATCCATTTCCTGTACTATTACTAACCATACTGAAGTTTTCAAGGAAACACCTGTTTATATTGTCTCCCTGTTCCCTCTGTTGGTTGAATTGGTTTTCTCCATCTTGGCAGTGAAAAACTCTCTGTGATACAATTTTGGAGAAGTTTTACCTCTTAGTTTAAATCCTACTTAGGATTCTGTGGGTTGTGGGTCTTGTGCAGAAAATGCACTGCATCCCAAAACTTCCTGGGTAGGTACCCTCTCCTGATCCTCACAGAATGTGTCCAGAGATACAGAAAAGCATAAACTATTAAGCTGTGGGAGTAGTGTTATGCACGGTTCAGATCTGATATACAGATGTGAAATAACAGTGAGTAATTGCTTACGCTCTTCAGAGCACTTTGCCAAATATTCATTAACCCATTATTACTTGTTTAGATTTGACTAAAGCTTGTGGGTTTAAAACATTAACGTTTTGCTCCCAACCCTCTATAGAGATCACTAAACAATCCCATCTCATCAGCAGATGCAAATTAATATCAGCGCATACAAATTAATAGACTGGGTAATTTATTGTAACCAGCTGCAGGTAGATCAAGAAAGCTGAGGAATCTTCTTGCCTGCACCATAATGTGCAATGTCTCTTTTGCATCATGTGGCAGAGCCTCTATCACTGCACGAGCCATTGCAAACACCGTAGGTGCACTCAGGTCTGCCACAGCGTCTGATTTATTTTACAGTCCCAAGCCATAATTCCTTAATTTTAATACAACGTCTAACCCTCTATCTAGTATATCCAAGCCCTCTTGGAAGATTTTTCACTCTGGTTTACATCGAGGTATTAGAGGAAGCTTAAAGAGAATGGACTGACAGTGAGGAAAAAGGAAGACATTTACTATAACTGATTCTAAAGAAGAAATGATAAACCTACTGATGAAAAAATGGGGAGAAAGTAGAGGTACATAATGAATTTAGAATAGGAAAAATGATTACATCAAGACAGGAAAAACCTCTGAAAATTAGGAAGAGTTCAGATGGTGAATTCTCCTTCACTGTGAATTGGTCCAGTGGGAGAAGCTCAGGCAACCTACCACTTGACATATTTCAAACAAAACTGATGTTTCATGGATTAATGTGCTGGGAGAGGTGAGCTACATGATGCACAAAGTCTTTTCCACTGTCCTCTAAACTTTTCCTGTGGCTTTAATTGGTGATAGGTTCTGTCAGCTGGTGACAACTTCATTTTTTTCCTTACTTTCGCAAGTCGATGTTACAGCTCTTTGGAGGAGAGGCTGTGCTGAAGGGAGACCCGCAGGGCTGGTCCAGATACAGCAGCACACAGAGAGGAATGTTTGCCTCTCAGTAATCCCTTCCCTGCTCTGTGCTCGAGACTCTTAACAAATTGCACAGCTGCGAAGAATTATGGGTATTTGTTATTCCTTGCTATCCTGACCATGTAAAACCTAACTCTTCTGGCCATTAGAGGTTGCCAAGAGGGAAATGGCTTGGTAATTAGACTTGAAAGTGATGAATGAACATGGCTCTGTGTAAATGCAGCACAGACAGTCTGTTTGCTGAACTTAAGAAATCTATGTGCTTTGGAAATGGGACATTGTTTATACAAGTAGGATTTTTAGGATTTTTGGGCAATGGATGTATTTGTTCCTTTTCTTGTTTTTCAGAAGCAAAAAAAAAAAAAAATTCCTCTTTAACTGCAAATCTTTGTAATGTGAGATGGGAAATGTAGGCTGATGCGATACTGCTAAATACAGTTTCCAAGGTGGAAAATTAAGGACAAGGGACAAAGATCAGTACCTTGCATTTGATTAGTGAAGGCCAAAACAAGTTGGTAGATGAACAATACTAACTTTTTTTTGGAGTGAAGGTAGAAATGACAAAGTGAGAGGGCTTTGGTACCAACCCACTGAAACTACAATACGGTGATGCTCTTCCAGGGATGTCTGTTATCCTGTATGATGGGGTACAGTGGAGCAGAGGCATGGCTACATTCCGAAGCCACAAATTAAAATGCTCAAAATGTCTGAAAGAGGTACTGTTTCACTTCAGGTGTTAAAATATTTGCAATCTGAATTTCTGAGGCACACAGGCTTCTAGGTGAAGCTATAAAGAATGGCAGCTTCTCTTCTGTAGTATGGCTGCTGTGCTTCTAGCAGGGACTGTGATACATTTTCTGATTTTAAACTGAGATGTATGTCTTACTGGAGTATTATAGTACATATTTACACTGTACGCTTGAGCATACAGTCACACTTCTGTATCTATGCAAATTTCCTTGTGTAATTGGCAGCTTCCCTGCACTTTTCCTGTGCCGTACTTGAGTTGTGATGGACCTGATGCTAGCAGCTGGCTATGTGAGGCAGGGAGCTTGATCTTCTGACTTACGTTGGCACTGGTTGTCCCTGAATCAGGGAACATCAGCTGATTCCTGGCAATATCACCTTTGTTTGGATATGATGGAGAGTTGAGGCACTGGAAATGTTGTGATTGTGGTCTGAGTTCTGTAAGGTACTTGGTATCCAAAAAAAATTAGTATCTGGGGAAAAAGGCTGTAAAAAAGCTACTTTAGGCCTAACAAGCGGTGAAGAAGTAAAGTTTTGAAATAACTGAATTGCACAGTAGAGCTTGTAATTTGTTTTGGAATAGCATTTTTAACAGATTCCATTACCCATATGCTATGTATATGTGATAAATATCTGCACCCCTTTATTTTTGAAGCAAACTCATGAAGATTCTTGTTCAGCAAAAAAAAAATCCTTTATCACAATGTGTTTTAAATCCATGTTTCTTTCTGTGTGTTTTATATATATATATATATATATATATATATATATAATTTGTAATTTTGCCAGCCTGTGTTGTAATTTTGACATTTGAAGCTTTGTGGCCATTTGTAGTCAGTAAGACTTGCATCAGTGGAAGAAGGACTAGATCTACAAATCTTTTTCTTGCAATTATTTAAATACATGGATGTATTTACAGGATTTAGAGGAACTAATCAAGTCCATTAAGTAGGTAAGCATGTTCTGCAGTGCCCAGGAGGGCTGTGGCAAGGCTGACCTGCAGCAAGGTGCTTCAACCAAAGCCATGAATTTGAGCCTTTTGTCTGGATTCCTGACAGAGGCTCAGTTGAAATAGATACCAGGACTAAAGGGATCAGAAGGGGCCATAAGTGGTGGCCACTTTGCTTCCTGGTATGGTGCTGGCTATGAGAAAGTTCAGCTTGCCCATGCAATGGGCCCAACAAGCAGGCTACAACTGCTGGCAGGGTTAGGACTATCATCATCAAATGTCTTTTTTTAATGAAATCAAAGGAGAACATAATTGTCATTA